AGAAAATCTAACAAAAACCTTGCAATCATATGCAAAATTGTGTGTAGGTGCACATTAAGTACTTTCTGGAAGAGGAGAGTCACAACTTTTATCAAAGAATCATGAAGATAATTCATCTTTTCATAAACCTAAAAGGTTAAAAAATCAAACTGGAATCAAAAGCCAGCCAGTGCAGTGGATGAACAGTACACTGATCATTTCAATTATTTTTTTCAAGGTAAATAAATATTAGATGCCATTAATGAACTATTACCAGCTTAAACTTGGACAGTAATTATTCTTACTTGTGGATGGCGCTTTGGTGCATATCTGTTGTAGTTCTTCTTTACAAATGGAAACTTTAAAGCATAGCAAACATTAATTTGCTACAGAGAAAAGTGATCAAAAAAACCGGAATTCCTAATTCTCATTATAAGCATAGTATGTATTTATTCCCTTCCTCAAAATTTTATCTACCACCAAAACTCAAACTGTTTGAGAGAAAAAAATAAAGGCAAGTCTGCATAATATATATTGAATCTGTGTAACCCCTTTTTTGCTCTCTGTTAAGCTACAATGTGTTTTATATCTCAGGTATCAACTGCATTAGATAAATGCAATAAAGTGATAAAAGAGAAGGGAATTGTTTTCCATAATATATTCAAAAGCCAACCAAACTATAACCTTTTCTTTTAATCTCCCCATGCAAAAGAGGCTCAAATAAATTTGTACTCTCTGTTTTAGCTATCACTTCACCTACATGTAAACTTTCCAAATGTTTATTCATTCACTTAACAAATATTTATTAAGTGCCAGGCATTGTGCTAAACTCTAGAGAGTTCTAGTTATACAGATGATATTCTATGACTTGCAAACACCATTTGCAAAATATCTCTCTTTAAGACTTATAACTTCTATATTAGAATATTATGATATGATATCTTTACAAGCTGCCTAAGAGCCATGTGGCTCTTCAATCCATGGTGACCGTTAAATACACCAATGAAGTCAAATAACAACCACATATTATGTGTATGATGTTAGAGAAAAGTACAATTTATCACTGCAATTAGTACTATTTAGACAAATACTCTCACTTGGCTGAAAGCTACCATGTTATCTAGTCTAAGCTACAATTAGACTTAATTTTTTTTCAAGCACTGAAACTATGTATAAAACTGTGCTCCCTAATCCCTTCTCAGATAATGCTTCAGTCTTAATTTAGTGGTAAGGAATTCTAATGTTCAAATGTGGAAAAGATTTCTGTCCTCCCACCATAACCTAGCAGATTTTTCTATAAATTCCTGGCCATTAATTAGTTTCCAGATTTGATTAAGCCAAAACCAAAAATGAAAACAAGTAACAGTCAATAAAATCACAGACAGAATCTCAGAACTGAACAGATGATCTAATTTGAATTCTTCGTTTTAAAGATAAAGAGACTGAGATCTGAAGAGGTTTACAGTCATGTTCAAGGTCGCACAAGTAAATGACAGGGCTGTGGTCAGAGTTTTCTGACTCCTATCCCAGTGCTCTTTTAATACAAAATGAAACTGTTATAAGGAAATTAAGAAAAAATTCTGAGAGAGAAAGAAATTACCTTTAATTACAAACATGAGTGAACCATAACTCAGATGCACTTAAGAAGCTCTAAATTAAAATTATGCTTTATTTAAAAATAAGAAATAAAAGAAGTCAAAGCTGAAAAATGATAGATCACTCTTCTGGGATATGGCCTTCATATGGGTCAATCCAGTTATAATCAATTTTAAGAGCCTGTTCCAATTATTTTTTAGTTCTGGAATTATTTTGTATTGAATAATACCTGAAGTTAGTAGGGTACTGGCTAAGGGAGCAGAAATCTTTTTGATTTACAGAGATTTTTGTTGAAATGGGTTTTGACCAGGGAACACTAAATTAAAGCAAGACTCCAGACTTTCGCCTTAACTTCCCATATCTCCAATATTGGCCTCTTCCCTCCGTACTTACACAAAGTAATAAGAATGCCCACTCCAACCTCTCTTTTCAAAATATAAATAGTTGGTTTTATTACTGTTGAACTTTATTTCTTCAACATTTCTATATTTCTAAGAGTACAATTCTGTTAGAGAAGTGGATGGTAACAGTTTTACTAATACTCAAGTCATAAAATATGTAAATGCTGAAAGACTGACTTTCATTAACACTATAAAAAGTAGTTGGTGGGGCGCCTGGGTGGCTTAGTCGGTTAAGCGTCCGACTTTCGACTTTCGCTTAGGTCATGATCTCGCGGTTCGTGGGTTCGAGCCCCGTGTCGGGCTCTGTGCTGACTGCCAGCTCAGAGCCTGGAGCCTGTTTCAGTCTGTTACTCCCTCTCTCTCTGAGCCTCCCCTGCTCACTCTGTCTCTCTCTCTCCTAGAAATAAATTAAAAAAAAAAAAAACATTAAAAAAAAAAAGTAATTGGTGCTTGAATGGCTAAGGAATTATGGAATACTATTCTAGCCAATTCATCTATCAAATTAAAATGGATTTGCAAGCCAGAAAGACAAGAGACTGAGCTTCCATCAGCCTTGGATAGTTACAATTAAAGAAACGTGTATTTTATAGGACTTGAATTTTGGTTCAGCAGCATGTATAAGTAAAATAAAGATAGGAAAACAGGTAAAACTAGGAAAATACATAGCTAGCTAGCTAGCTAGCTAGACAGACACAGAGACTTACGGTGAACATTTATATATGGTGCTCACTGAATTCCAGCCATTGTCTAATGCACTTTTCACATCCTAATCAATTTCATCCCCCACAGCCACCCAATACGATTATAAGCTCCCATATTACAAATGAGGAATAGCAGGTACACAGCTAGTTAAGTGGCACAGCCAGCCTGCAAACTCAAACTCCAGAATCAGTGTGCTTAAGCCCTGTACAGTAATGGTTACAGCTTAAGCAGTTTTGTTGAATTTATTGTTGAATCATTTTGATACCAAAATTTAAAGACACTTATATCTCAATTAAACGATTCCATTATGAAATCCTTTCATTCCATGATTCTAACATCTCAAGGAATACATTATTAATTATTTGTTAATTAATGAGGTGTTTCTGTGAATACTTAGCCTCCTCCCTGTATAGAAAACTCATGCTTCAAGGACAATACTGGTGCTCTCACAGTCTGGGGGTTTTTCAGTGGGAAACATGGCTACGTGGAAACTAAATAACCCTGATGCTCCAACTGTCACATGTAATGCAGAGTGAGGACAAAGTTCCACATGGCACAGTGAGCGCACTGGTTGATGTTCTCCCTCAAGCTCACACACAATTCAGCAGGTAAACCTCATCAGCTCTGCAACCTCAGTCTCTCTCGAACCCCTCCCTCTTCATTCCAAACCTACCGCAATGAGCACCGCTGAGGCTCTCAGCACTTCCTGAGTCCCCTCGGGCCTCCTACTCCCCCAGTGTTTTCTGTGGTGGTGCTGGTGCAGGGGCATGGCTGGCTCAGGGAGGAAAAGTACCGAGTGATTGGGGCCCTCAGTGCATTAAGCTTCATCGGCCTCTCAAGTCACCACAATAGACATAAGACCTACTTAACAATAACAATAAAAGCCACAGATGTTTACCGTTCAAATACAGCTTCAAAACAAAGGCCTTTAGCCACCCTTCGAATCAGGCTGCCATCCCAGCCTTCTCTGAAACATCTGGAACCGGCATGGACTTTCCATCCTACTAAATCAATAATCCTTATAAAATGCACACTGAGTCATGTTATTTCACCTTCTTTCCTCCTCCAAGATTTAAATTCCTTAAAACATCACCTAAGACATTTCATGATCTGGCTACCCTCCTTCTCGCCTCTTGGGCTTGCGCTCACCCGCCCGAGCTGGCCATGTTAAATAACTTGCCTCTCACTGAACATACCTGGCTCTTTCAGGCCTTCATGTCTTGCCCATGCTAGTCCATATCCTAGAGGTGTCCTTCCCACTCTTTGGCTACCTGGCTAACTGATGTGCACAGATTGAGAGTTAGCTTAAAAACGATGTCCTCCATGAAGCCCTCCTTTAAATGTCAGAGACCTTCCCTCATTTCCAAATATTTTCCCCTTACCAAAGAGCTAGGGCCATCCTCCTCTGAATTCCCCTAACATCCTTTATTTAGCCATATCACCATATGGTTCAATGGTCTTCACACAGCACCATTTCCACCCTGTGCTAGTTAAAGACATCAGCTTGATCTTCTCACTGCTTCACACAATGCCTGGCACTCAAGAGTTAATGTTCAGTGAATGTTTAATGAGTTGGAATTAAATTCTCTATACAATATAGCAACAGAGATATGCATATTAATAGAAAACAGAAATAATGTTGATACTAATATTCATATAAAATATCTGACTTTCAGAATAAAATTAAAATATTAAGTTTATGCTATAGGCACATAATGAAATTTTGGACTTTCATGCCTCACTTGTGTACATGCTTAAAATCAAATTTTTTTAAAGTATAGTGGTTCTAAATTATGAACCAGCTGACTCATGCTGTTTATTTGGTCACTGTTAAGTAGAACATCATTTCTTTTTAACTATAATAAATAAGTAACTGTATTATACTAAAGTTGTTCATTTTCATTTTTCTCTTCCCAAAGTAATGGCCACATGTGAAATGAAAACCACTTTCATTATCCTTTACCAAGATGAATATCCTATTTGTGTGATTTGGGGCAGTTTCCTATGAAGACTGCCAGCCTCTTCTGAACATTATGATTTTAAGATGTGTAGTGTGCATTAAAGAACAAAGATATCATGAAATATTAGTGACAACTATAGTCTGAGCAAGAAAACTGGACAATGTTTCCAAGGGTTATAAGGATTGTGGAAATGAATGTTACTCAAAGTAGAGTGGTGATTTATAACCGATTTCCGTCTTCAAATTAGGGCCCAAGTGAAAGAAAACGGAATTTAGCAAAATGTTCTGGTGTATCATTTCCTGCAGCAGAAACGCCCACCCAGACCAGTGCCCTCACTAGGTACAGGACAAGAAGCAGCAACCTGAGGGAAGCCCACAGGCTCGCAGGGCTACTGGCTGGCTCTTTGTCACCAAATGCAGCAGGTTGAATGCAGACATCACTGTGATATCTTCACCAACAAAACGAGAGGCAAAGAACAGGGGCAAGAGCTGAGTAGGAGAAAAAAAAGAAAACAAAAACAAATTAAAACATCAACAAATGTTAACCACATTCATTGCACAATTGATGGTTACGGTTTAATCTAGAACTGAGCACATACACACAGTGATAATAAATTTCAAATGCCTATTTTTCAAATGGTGAGCAGACTTTCAACCCAGGCTTATTTATATCTTATGAATAAAATATACACGATATAAAAGTGTGACCTGTGAACACACTTCTCAAGAGGTCAGAAAAGAGACCAAGTTTAAAACAGTTGAAAAGAATTAGCATTTACTGAGTGCATCCATACCATGTGACAGGAACTGTCTGGGGCCTAATATACACATTGTATCATTTAATTCTTACAATAAACCTAGGAGGTAGGTTTATCCCCCAGTACATATGTGAGAAAATCGAGGCTCAAAGATCCAAGGGCATATAGCAAATAACCAGTGGAAAAAGTATTAGAAAACCCTGTTTTATCTGACTGAAAAGCCATGTTCTTTCCTTTACACCATGTTGCCTCCTTCCAGCAATTATTTGTAAATTTGTAAAAAACAATTTGTAAAAAAAAAAATACAAATATAAATTTGTAATTTATAGAAGACTATAAAATATTGCAAGATTAAGAGATTCCTTTTGTTAGAGTTTCTTTCTTAATCTTTTTTTTTTTTAAACTAGAGAGCCAAGTACCCTACAGACAATTAGGAGACTTCACTTTAGAACGTGTTAAGTTTGAACAAAGCATCGCAAATATGAATTTTCATCTGACCTTACCATTTATAATTTCTAGACCAATTCTGTGAGTCATATTCACAACCCAGCCTTCAAAAGGCTTAAACTATTTTATAAAGGTTTTGGAAATGAATCTATATGGAAGAATCTCAAAATTGTGTTAAGTGTTAAACTTTAGAGAAAAGTTCAGCTGGTATTTTCCTTAAAGTTTTGCACGATCTTTCCACTGATAAACTCCAAATGAAGCCTGGAAAATACTAGGTTAATACTAACTTCTAATATTTTATTTTAGGTTGGCATTATAAGTGATCTTAACCACTAAATGTCCAAAAATGGATATAAAATGAAAGTCTTCTTCATTTCCTGCCCCTCACCCCCCGACTACCCCCCCCCCGAATAAAAGTCTGTTCCTGGTCTCTTCTGACATCCTTGAAGAACAAACACATAATAAGCAGTAATATATTTTACCAAATCACTCTGGAGTATATCTGACAGAAATCTGCTTGTATTAACATACCTGAACTCTGACTTCTTCAAACTAAACTCACTACAAAACTAAAACATTTTTGTGTTATGAACTGGAGACAAAAGGGAGGAAGAGGGAAGGTAAGTATCACAATGCACAGCCGAAAAGAACCATTAAACATAAATAAACATGTCATTTTCACGAGTGACTGCAGAGCAGGGAAAAGAGCATTCCTTTGGAGCAGACTACTGACTAATAAAAGATCAAAGGTCTATACCTCGCAACACTATAAATAAAAATGTATTTTTTTTCCTTGTGACCTTCTCTGAGAGGAATAAAGTGTGCACGATAAATGTAATTACTTAGCGAAGCTGCAGCCTCATTGTGCTCCCACAGCTGACCATAAAACGTCTTCCTATTCTGTTTCATCAACTGCTGTACCAGGCGGCCTGCGCGCCTACCGATGGCCTCGGCCATCTGGCTTGTGTCAAAGCCAGCACACAGGAAGAAAGGGAGTGATGTCACTCTGCAGGTCAGGCAAAGAACAAAGATGCATTCTACAATTAAAAGCTGGGGGCCTCAAATACCGGGGGCCCTCCAGCGTAATATGACTGTGTGATTTAATGTCCAGACTGGTGCATTTCTTTCTACCCAAAGAGCCACGGCTCCATCTAGTGGCAAATTAGTTTTGCCCAGTTTTCCTTAAAAGCAAAACCCTGAAGTGTTACATTCACACCAAGAAAGCACAGCAAATAAAATAACATAACTTTTAGAGCAGTCTAGTCTTTTTACACCGAAAAATGCAAAATGCATGATTCATCACAATTTTCTCCATTTTAAAATATTAAGAAGCACACATTTCATAGGTTAGGGATAGATATAACTCATGTTTTTAATGCTCTAACCCTAATTATAGCAGAAAAAGCAGCTAATTTTGCAAACTGCATGTAAAGTGACATTACTTACACACTACTCTGAAAATATGTAGCTAAGATATAAAGTGAAAAACAGTTCTAAAGAATGGACTCATGTATCTGGATGCCTTGGTGAAATACAACTCAATCTTATACAGCAACAGAACACAAGAATCATAGTTCATATGGCTCTAACATGTGATGCCAAGAGCAACTCTAGAACAGAAAAAGAACTACCTTTATGCTGAAATGATTCAGTAAAATTAATTTTTAGTTCATGTTTTCCACTTACATTTGGAGTAAATGATATTAATCATTTTGACAAAGTGATCTAAAATACAGAACACATTTGCACCAGAGATGAGATATCACAGTGGATGTGTGAGCTATGGGGTCAGACAACCTGGGTTTGACCCTGGCCCTGCTCCTAACTAGCTGTGTTATCTCAGACAAATCATTTACCCCCTCAGTGCCTCAGTTTCCTCAACTCTAAAATAAAGGAATTGATAAAAAGGACTTGGAAGAATCCTGGCACAAAGAATATGCTCTGCAAATGTTAGCTGTTATTATTGTTTAAATGAACAAATCTTCACTGTATTTTAAAATTATATGAATGAGATATTTCTAACAGCCCGTTTACACCCAACCCTATTTAGACTTAGCAGGCCATTCTCCAAAGACAGTATCCTTTTTAGTCCAGAAAACATTACTCTTTGATGCATTTCCACACTAAATTATGACCCTAACAAAACTGGTAGGATACAGATATCCTAAGCCTAACCACTGACGAAACCCTCGGCAGGTGGCAGGCACTGCTCTATGCACCTCAAATTACTAGTGGTTTTAATCCTCATAGCCTTACGAGATACTTATTATCATTTTCCCATTTTCAGATATAGCAGCACAGGGAGGTTAAGTCACTTGACTAAAACCCTACAGCCACTAGGGACTAGGGCACTTGAGTAACTGGACTGAAATGATTTAACAGATTTGAACACAGGCCATCTAGTTCCAGGGCCGGCGCTCTTGACCACACAACACGATTGGCAATGAAAGTCTGAGGCCGTGCCCGCCCACTCTACATATGCTGACTCCATGTTTCCTACTAGATAACGTGACTGATAACAAACGTTTAATAAGGATCCAATTAACTCAAGAAGGTTATCTGAAGATTCGCTCCCTGGACACTGAGTGAAACAAGTAAAGAGTAAGGAAGAAAAAAGCCCGAGACATTCTCAGATTTCTAGATTTGCTCTTTCTGTTCCACCAGGTTCAACTTCCCTCTTTCACTTTCAATATTTTCTCTAAACCCCTTGGATACACCTTCAGGATACCTCCTAAAGATGTCTAGAAGTGACTCCACTTGAATCTACCAAAGCTCCAGTATGTTGATAATATAGTACTTTTGAGGGTGAAGAAACCCAACAGCTACACCTCCCCACACGCCCGGAAAGAAACACGGCTCCATTTGGCAGCTTCCTTCCCTCTATACTCCCTGAGCCGCCTGGGTAAGGACCCTCGCCAGAAACAACCCTAGTCCAAAAAGAGGTGAAAGAAGCACATGCATCTGACGGGTGACGATCTTTGGGGAAAGAATTGGCATTAAACACCCTGTAGAAATCAGCTCTGAGCAAGGACCACTCAGAAAATCTCTAATTCTCCAAGTTTATTCTCAACTTGCTCACTTTTGTATCGCCTTTGACTCAAATAACTGCCTGGCAGAGTAACGTTTATAAGTAATCAACATGTTGTGTTTTTAATGCCAGACACATGCCCTATGCATCTTTCTAATTTCCCAGACTATCTAGTACATCACTTTGAAAATATCTGCTGTTTAAGAACACTGGTTCAGCAACACCTAGTGCAGTATCACATTATGCATTAAGAATAGAGTCAGATTACATGGTTGTCTATAACTTTCTGATTAAAACTTTTTGCTGATTCTCCAATGCATATTTCAGGGGTTCCCAAACCATGTTCTGAGAAGCAGGAGATACCCTTTCAAGCAAGTCTGTAGCCAAACAGTCGTGGAAATGCTATCCAATATAAAGAATCCAAGAGGTTGCATAGTAATTACGTGCTTACCTTGTCTCAACTGAGGCCTCTCAAACAAGGGTTTGTTTTGACCATAGAAACCGTTTTCTTTCCTATCGCCACCCCAAATTCATAAACAAAGCACCTGAAGTTCCACATCCACTGCCACCTAACTCTTGAGACTTTTCCTATACCATACCTCCGCATCCCACCCTGCCCCACGCTCCTGCCACACCAGGAGGCTCATAATTTCCTCCAAATATTCCCACTTTTACTTCCACGTCCTTCTTCATTCCATAGCCTTACTCCACTTATCACCATTCCCAACCTCTCCCATCTGGCCTCCATTGAGGGGCCAACACACTAGCCCATCTCCTAAAACCATTTTCAGGGCACTAATTGCTTATGTCTCTGTCTCCCTCTTCTGGATTATAGAGCTCCTAAGCATAGGGACCGTATCTTTCTTATCTTAGAATCCCAGTACCTGGCACCCAGTAGTCACTGATGTACTGAGTGGAAGAATGACTACGTAAATGACTCACTCCGCGGATCATCATTTCCCAGCTTGCTATTACCTTTGCCATCTCAACTGCTAATGGTGCTTAAAGGTGAGAATTGGAATTAGGACCAGTTGGTTCTTTCACAGGAACCAGCAGTTCCTACAAAGAGGTGAGAAGTTGAAACCGCAATCTGACTTGAGAGCCAAAGATCATTCACATGCCCTATTTTGGTCAAAAATTTTTACTTCTTCTCCATCTTTTTTCCCCCTAGAACTCCGCCATCCAAACATTTGACTAAAATTAGTTTGTTGGTTTTTTGGTTTGGGTTTATTTTTATTTCCTTTTACTTTTTTCCT